GTTGAATACGATGGATATTATTGGAGGAGATTGAAATCATATTTCGTCTCATTAGAATATTTTTTGAATCGATGAATCGTCTCATTTTTGAATCTTTGAATGTCGGCTTCTTCGATTCTTCTTATTCTTTTTTCGTCTTTATGGGATGACTTGTAATTGGGGGTGATGGATGATGGATCTTTAATCACGTCGGGGCATCGAAATTCATCTTGATCTCGTGGATGAGGATTCTTTTTCATTTGTTTAGGCGTACATAATGCCTGGATGATGAATTTCATTTATAGAACAAATTTCCGGTTTCGAATTTGGATACTTTGTCCCTTCAGGCAATTGGATCCTAAATCTTAAGCGATAATCCATAAATCTTGCCTTCACGCTTCATCATTCGTTCGAGTTCTTATTGACGCTCGCGCGTCAGGCTCTCAGAATTCTATAAAGGGATCCCGAAATTAAGTGGATCTTTTATTTGTCTGTATTTCTTCAAAGCTTTGGTGTACGTCTTCTTCCATTCAATAGGCGAATATGTCGTCGATGGAATCGACGGGCCCCCTCTAATATTCTAGAAATAAATTCATCATCCAAACGTTATGCGCGCCTAAATAAATGAAAGGGAATCCTCATCCATAAGAGCAAGATCAATTTCGAATTCTCCAAGATACCTCGATATATTTAAAAATCCATCATCATCCCCAATTATATATCATCCCATAAAGGCGACAAAATAATAAGAAAAATCGAAGATTTCTAAATACAAAGAGTCAAAAATGAGACGAACCATCGATTCAAAAAATATTCTAATGAGACGAAATATGATTTCAATCTCCTCCAATAATATCATTTCGATGGTCCTATAGAATTCTCTCTACGAATCAGAATTCCAATGATCCAGGTATTCCTGAAAAGAAGATTCCAAACCACGGACCACCACCACGAGACCACCACAACGAGACCACCACCACAAGACCACCACCACGAGACCACCACCACAAGACCACCACCACGAGACCACCACCACGATCACCAACACAACCACCCGCACGGACCCCCGCCACGGACCACCACCACGGACCAACCACCACGGACCACCACCACGGGACCACCACCACGGGACCACCACCACGGGACCACCACCACGAGACAACCACCACAAGACCACCACGAGACCACCACCGCGGACCACCGTCACCCGGCCACCGTCACCCGGCCACCACCATGGGACCACCACCACGGGACCACCACGACGGCCACCAGGGACCACCACCACCACCACCACCACCACCACCACCACCACCACCACGGACACCGCCACCACCACGACAGACCACCACTACCAAAGGAGCACCACCACCACGGGACCACCACCACGCTGTGGGACCACCACGACGAACACCACGGGACCACGGACCACCACCACGGGCATTCGGGAAAACCCCCCAAAACCCCAGCCTTTCAGCCCCAACCCCTCAGCACCCCAAAACCACCCACCCCCCACCACACCCGACAGAACCCAAACCATTACAGCAAAAGCAAAAAACAAAACCCCCCCAAAACACGACAAAACTCCGGACACAAACCCTATACAATTTCTATTAAACCCCAAAACCCTACACCGTAAAGCGTAAAACCCTGAACCCGGGGGATCCCGAAAATTCCCGGAATTTAAATTCTAGGATTTTTCGAGAGCTGTTGCTGATATGTGATCGTGAGGCCGAACCCCCTTGAACAGCTGGCGGGCGGCGACCGTCATCGGAACTACCCTGGACCAAGAGATTTCCTTGAAGATTTCCTTGAAGGTGAAGGGGCACCCACGTCATCACTGTTGCGCTGGAACCTTAAATCCAACCCGGCAAGCCCAAACCTCAATCCGGACAATTCCTAAAATTCCGGGAATTTTCAACTCCGGGTGATTCCCAAAATTCCCAGGATTTTTAGACAAAAAGTGTTAAAATTCCCGGAATTTTCAGGATCCCCCTGCAAGGCCCTCACAAGCAGCCAAATGGACCGGAAGAGGAGGCGGGGCATCCGACGGAACGGCCGCAGAGCGAAAATAGGGGTCGAGCCCGTAGCCTTTTATGGGGATATTTTCGTCGATAATATAATCGCCATAACCAAGTACAAACAATAAGGAAACTAAGTGCGTTTTCCAAGCCCCCCAAAACGTAGTTTGTCCTCTCACCCCAAGAAGGGGAATCAATGTGCTGGCTTCAATGCTTGTAGACAAGTGGTCGACAAAATCAAATACAAGCTCCAGTGTGCGTTTTCCAAGATCCTCAAAACGCACTTTGCTCTCTCATCCCAAGAAGGGGAATCAATGTATTACTTTCAATGCTTCTGGACAAATAATCGGCCCCTGAAAGCATTCATAGTGCAAGTTTCAGCTTATTTAGGGTTCATACTGATAGAATATCCTACTCTTAACCCTCAAGCCCCAATACGAGTACGTTTAAAGACCGCGCCTAAACGCACCCATTATGCAAGATTCAGCCAATTTAGGGTTCAAATTGATAGAATATCTTACCCCTTAACCCTCAAGCCCCAATACGAGTACATGTAGAGACTAATCCTAAACGTACCCATTGTGCAGGTTTCAGCCTATTTAAGATTCATAATCCTCAAGTCCCAACACGACTACGTTTAGGGACCCGCCTAAATGCACCCATTGCAGGGTATACATAATTTGCGGGTTAATTAATTATGTTACATTGGGGAGATGGGTGGCATGATTTGTTTATATATAAACCCCCCTATAGGCTGAAACCTGCACCACGGGTGCGTTTGCGCGCGGTCCCTAAACACACTCGCTTGGGGTTTGAGGTGGTCAGGGGCATGAGAGTCCATCAGTACGAACCCAAAATAGGCTGAGGGCTAAGGGGCGCTATCAGCCAGATTTTATGGAAGTTAGCAACACCGCTGCCAATGCCTTTCCAGGACCTGTCGCCCAATCGTGTCCCTTTCGCGTGCCTTTCGCGATTTTCAATGTGCGCTTCCTCTCAGAAATTTCGTGGTCAATCGCGGAGATCTTGCTCTCCAGCACGTGCCATGCGTTTTTGCACTCGGGGCATTTTTGCAGCCTTCGAAAACGCACTTTGCCCCTGATCCCCTCCCCAGCCCCATTATAATCACCACCGGCCGCCACTAGAAGAAACAAAGTGAATGCTTTCAAGCATCAAGCATAAACCCCCCTAAGCCCCATATGGGTGCGTTTGCAACGCATTCGTCGGGAAGCAAAACAAAATATGAATGAAGCCCCAATAAGCTGAGACCTACACTATGGGTGCGTTTAGGGGTAGTCCCTAAACGCAGTCGCATTCGGGCTTGAGGGTTAAGTGGCAAGATATTCTATCAGTATGAACCCCAAATAGGCTAAAACCTGCACTCATGGGAGCGTCTAAGCGCGGTCCCTAAATGTACTCGCATTAGGGCTTGAGGGTTAAGGGGCAGGATATTCTATCAATATGAACCCCAAATAGGCCGAACCCTGCACAATAAGTACGTTTAGAGGCGGTCCCTAAACGCACTCGCATTGGGGAATGAGGGTTGAGGGGCAGGATATTCTATCAACATGAGCCCCAAATAGATTGAAACCTGCACGAGACTTGTGCTCCCCAAAACACCAATTCAAACCTGCACTGTAGGTGCGTTTAGGCGCGGTCCCTAAACGCACTCACTTTGGAGTTTGAGGGTTAAGGGGCAAGATATTCTATTAGTATGAATGCACCACGGGTGTGTTTAGGGGCGGTCCCTAAACGCACTCGCTCAGGGTTTGAGGGTTAAGGGGCATGATCAACCAGATCATCCCTTTCGTGGCGCCTTCCGCCGCGCTTTCGCGGGCCTTTCGCGGATACTAAAAAACAAGCAGAAATCTATATAATTTGTTCGCCATGAAAAAAAAGACAGGGGTTTGCGGATAACGCCCATATCAAGATAAAATCTCGAGATTGGGTCCAGCCGCTATAACCATATATATCATATAACACCTTGGAATCGTACCTCAAAGCCCCTTGAAAAGGCCATACAATTTATAATTACAAGGCAAAGAACGCGTGCTTTTGATTTATAAATTTTTGTCAGGCCATTTTAGTGAGCTTTTAGGGTGCCAGAAGTGAACTCATGACCGTACAAATGATGTCCTCTTCCAAAATCCCGGCTCCATTTTCGGCCAATGATTGACCACATGAAAGAAACCCACGAATGATACTTTCATTCTTTTGTGTTCGTTCATTGTAGCAGATTCTTCTCCAATCCTCGGGCTTAGCCAACAGCCACCCTGTAACTTGCAAAGACAAGCAGTATGACTGCTACATGCACACTGGCTGAATTGAATGAGAAGGAGCAGCGCGGCTTGAATGTAGCGCACAGGGACTTGGCCTGTTTTGCATTGTGGGGCAAGCAGTTGGGAGGCGTGACACCCAGGTGCGTCGTTGCAGCGCCTACAAGCTGCGAAGCCCAAGCAAACCTGAACAGCCCTTAACCTTAAGACCTTACAAGCCTTCTCAAGCCCTATGAACTCTGGAAGCCTAAACCCTGAACCCTTACAAGCCTTTCCGATGCTGTAGACCTGCAAAACCCCGCAGCTCCGCAGCTTTTGAAGGGTTTCGGGTTCAGAGTGCTGACGAAGCCCCCGAAAAACGGTTTAGGGTTTAGGGCTTAAGGTTCGAAATCCCCAAACCCTAGGCCCTTCAGTCAACGATACCACACCCCTGAACCGTTTCTCAGCGCACAACTTGCTCAATTTTATCTGCCCAACTTTCCGCCATCTGTGCGGTGACCAAAAAATGGCCAACATCTACACTGAATCTACACGTTCAGAAAGGCACGCCGGAAGCCAGCTGGTAGGATGGAACGTGGGACAAGTGCAGCCGCGTGCTTTGCACGTTCTTTGCACTTTGCGTGTTGCTGCATGAGGTCCACAAATACCTTCCATGTCATGCTTGAACCCTGCCAAAACATTTCCAGCCTTTGGTACATATGTGGACAACTCCTCAGCAACTTGTGAATCGTTAACACTCGGACTTGAAAGTGGAAACGCACATGTGCTGGAATACCCAGCCGAAACACCCCAGTGCACAAGGGGCCCAGACCACTGCTAGGGAACTGATATATGCATGACAAACGGGCCCGGAAAAGGGATGCCCCAAAACTTTGCTGAAATCGCAATTGCATAGATGTGTGAGGTAGACAATGGACAAGATGTCTGCGCTGACATCACAGACGCAGACGACGGCCAGGTACTTGACGCTGCTCAACCCAGATGTGAGGAGGAATTCTTGAAGCATGCGCGGGAGCACCCAAGCTAGCGGACTGAAGACCAGCAAACTTGAAAGAGCAGCTGTGAGTCCCCAGCCTAGAATGATAGCTTCGAAGCTCATGCGTTTCAGGAGATCTTCGTCACTAAGCCATGGTGTCAGGTCGACAAATCTCCTTGGGATCTTAGCAACCTAGGACAAAGCAGGATACTCCCTTTTTGGGCTCGACGAGCTTATAAGGGAACCTAGCCTCATCGCAAAAAGAGAAGCCAATGACAACATGTACCACTCGGCTTCCCAGTCTCTTCCGAAATGCACCGGCATGTCCTGGGATGGCCCTACAAGTGACAAATATTCTGAAAGATGATCCTGCTTTGAAACCTTGAGGGTTTAGGGTTTAGGGTTTAGGGTTTAGGGTGTAGGATTTACGGTTTCGCACTAAAGGAAAAACATGCAGTCGCCCCAAAGGCATACCTAGTATCGAGCCCTCACGGCTCGCCACAGTATGGTTGCGCAATCGCACAGCACCCAGATTCCGACGCTGGGCCAGTCGCGACACTGAGCCGCAGCCAAGGATGTGTGCAATCCCAGGTTCAGGGCCAGAGGAAACATGCCATATCGATGCCTCTGTTGTTCTTCCGTACACCTTCTGGCCTTAAGCCTATACCCGAAACCCTCAACCCTCAACCCTCAACCCTAAACCCCAAACCCTAACAAAAACTCCAGCTTCTAGAAGCCCTAAACCCCCGAAGAAACAACCTAAGCCCTTGTGGAAAGTTGCTCTCCACGGTGCCCCCTGCTGTCTACTTTAGGGTTTAGGGTTTAGGGCTTAGGGTTTAGGGTTTCTTAAGCATTACCATTAGGAGGCCTCGACCTGTTGTGACACACCCGAGCCCTGAATTTGTCCAGTGCTCCAAGCCCCACAGGCAGGGGCCCCCACCCCTTAGTTATAGGGGCCCCCACCCCTTAGTTATAGGGGCCCTAGATTGGGTGGTCCCTTCAGGAAAGTTCGCATGGCAAGGGTGCCCCTAAACTCCACCTACGGCCCCCTGCCAGCAAGAAACAGTTTCCAAGAGCGCCCCAAGAAACATTGTGGGCCCAAGCCCAGAGGCGGCGACTTTAAAGACCGCCACACAGCAGCCTTTCAGCAGCATGGAAATGAGAGGTCGAAGCACCTGTTTTACGCGGTGTAGGTTTAAGGCGTGTGGTTCGGGGGCTAGGGCTTAGGATGGGGTCCCTGGCCTCTCCAGTTCTGAGATGGTTAGACAGTAGGTCTATAAGGATTGTTTCAATGTGGGAGAACCCCAAAAGGGAATCCCCAAACAAAGAGATGCCGGTTGCAGTTGAGAGGCTTCTAGTTTAAGCAGCCTAAATGAAGGTTAGGTCTACAAGGATTGCTTCAATGTAAGCTCCTATACTAAGCAACCACCCTAAAACCCTAAACCCTAAACCCTACCCTAAACCCTAAATCCCCCAACCCCAAACCCAAAAAACCCTAAACCGCAGTTGAGCCGCCGCAGCAACAAGGGTGCTCATGTTCGGCATGACCACTGCGAAGTCCAGAGCGATGTAGTTCACTGGCAAAACCTTGGTAGCCCAGTAACCAGATTACAATAAGGGTTTAGGGTTTAGGGTGTAGGGTTTAGGGTTTAGGGTTTAGGTTACCTTCAAGGGGGAAACCATCGCAAAAAAAAAACAGGGTACAGAGCACCACTGGGCGACCAAGGAACAGTGGCAAGGAAACAGGCGACCAAGCTCAGCAAGTCAAGCCAAAAGTTCTTTCCTTGCCTCGCGAGCCCAGCGACCCTCTGGGGGAACCCGAACATGGGGGGGGGTACCCTTTTTGGGGGGTCCCCCTTTAAGGGGAGTCTCTTCTGCTTGGGGTAAAAAAAGGGGTACCCCTATTTTGGGAAATACCCATTTTTGCTAAGGGTACCCTTTTTGGGGGCTGGTTACTCTACAAGGGAACCTTGAAGCAACAAAAAGGTGAAAACAAGGGTATCACTGGGCTACCAAGCTGCTGTCTGATGTATCGCACTTGCGAGCACAACTGGTACCAGTCATCGTCGCCACGGCAGTGGCGTATGCCCGCCACCATGGAGGGCAGGAAGAAGATGCAGGTAGTCGTTGGCCAGAAGCCTTACTGTGGGTTAGCAATGGGGGAATGAGGTACCCTATAGAAGCCCTTAACGGGTATATATGAGGCCCTAGAATTCCCTCATTCCATGCTAACCAACAGCAAGAAGCATGTAGAGAAGAAGACGATGCCCTCGTTCTCCGTACCGACCGCGTAGGGAAAAGAGATGTTGGCGATGACGAAGGGCACGAGGCTCACCAGGAGGAAGAAGACCTGGCAGCTCCGTTTCGTCATAAGCGTTGGATTGCAGAGTCCAGGGAAGAAGCTCCCCAGGAAACATGGGCTGAGAGCCCAAACCAGCCGGTTCAGGAAACCGCCCCAGAAACTTGCGCTCTTGTGGCCGGGGACGGGCCACAGCCCGCTGGCTGCCAGGGAGGCAGTGAAACAAATGGATACCAGAAAGGCTGAGCACAAACCAGTCCCAACCAGTTGCGCTACACGCCACGCCTTCCCGACCTGAGGCAAGGGTTGCCCATACGCCTCTTCCGAGTTCTCTGGGGGCGGCAAAAGCTCACTGTTCTTCTTGGAGTCCGTCGGGCTGTGCTTTGGCTCAGGTTCTTCCTCTTGGTTCACGTCTGGAGCTTTGGGGGCCGGGCGCTCTGGATCTGCGTGAGGTATGCTTCCCCGGAGGTCGGAGAATTCCACGCAGGGTGCCACTTTACATGCTCGAACGGATCTCTGCATCTATGCCACCACATCTACACGGGGCTTGGGGAGCCAGCATTTGACACGCGGCGGGGATTCTGTGAGAATTTACAGGTTGCGGGTTCAGTGCTGGAAGGGTTTATAGTGCTAGGGCTATACAGCCCCAGGAGATAGAGCGAACTTCCTTTCTCGCCTACATGTGCAAGCCCCAAATCCGGTAATTACATTTTGGCAATCTCGACTCTCGACATAAAAAGCTCATTTCACGCGCAGGAATTGGACCCCACAACCAAATTAACACGCCCTACAAGCCCGAGACAAAACAACGAACCCTCACCACTCTCAAACAACAACTAAACCTATACGAGCTCGCGCGGTCACTGAAATCGATATTGTGCATGAAAGGGCTCCCTTGCATGGGTCGGAAAACGCCATGCGGCATTTTGGGCCAAGTTTTTCGTCTAACGAAAAAACGGGCTGCCTTTTCGGCAATGTACAGGGAGCTTTCATGCCCAGCCCAAAGACATCACACATTAATCTCGGGCAGGCTCCAAAGGGCAATGCTTTCAGCAAAGGAATTGAAAAAGTACCCCGCATGCTGTCATGCTGATTGCGATGGCGGCCGATTCCCTTTGGCCTCTGGTGACGGGAAGATGGATACTTGAGTGGCTGATGATGTGAGGTGACCCAGGCTTTGCCAGGCAACTCAGCACGGGCATGAGATGTTGAAATTCTGTTTTTTTGGTGTTTTTTTTTGTAAAACGTGGGGCCTGGTGTTCGTTCTAGGTGATGTTCGTTTGGTGTTCGTTCTCACTTGGTGTTCGTTTGGTGTTCGTTTTCCTGGTGTTCTTTTGGTGTTCGTTCTCTTTCTTAATTACCTCTTTGCAGAACAAGCACCAAACGAACACCAAGAGCACCAAACGAACACCATGATAGAACAAGCACCAGACGAACACCAAAATCCGGAACGAACACCTGTATTTCTGCAGAAAATGGAGAACAAACACCAGAACGAACACCTGCCCACAAATCACCAAAACTTTACCAAAACCAAAACATTGAGAACCTAAACGCGCTGCCAACCGAAAACAATACCGTTTCGAGTCCCCACAGCCCACCCACCCCCCTCCCACCCAGAGCTTGGTCACTCGATGACTGCGAGAGAACAGCGTGCGAAAAGCGAGTCAGCGACACAACTGCGGCGCAGGTGCTTTGCTATCACTTGTTTGAGACTGCCAAGCGGTTGACATCCCTAAATCCCTTAAATCGCAGATTTGGCAATGTACCGTGGTTTTTTTATTCTGGTTTTTTTGGGGTTTTTGATGCAGACCGGACCTGCTCAAACGGTGCTCAACCTTTTTGAGCACAAGTCAAACCAGCCCGCATGCATTTCAGTGACCTCGCGAGCTCGTATAACTAAACCGACTGATTTTCGGAAAGGCTCTCGACGAGCCACCTCACCCCGAAAAGTCTTCAATCCTCCGCAATCCTGCGGGGTAAGCCCGAGGTAGCAAAAACCCCAAAACCCTACACCCTAAGCCCTAAACTTTAAACCCTAAGCCCTAAACTTTAAACCCCAAAACCCTAAACCCTAAGCCCTAAACTTTAAACCCTAAACCCAAAACCCTAAACCCTAAACCCTAGGTTTGGGCGTAGGACTCGGAGTCGGCTGCGCCTCCGCTGGCACAGGGTGTCGAAGGCCTTCGCGTGCGCAGTACGGTGGACCCTGAAACCCCCAAGGGTTTAGGGTTTAGGGTTTAGGGTTTAGGGCTTAGGGTTTAGGGCTTCGGGTTTAGGGTTTAGGGTTTAGGGTTGGCCCAGTAAAGCCTCCGAAAAACATTCCAATTTCGGACCCCCTTAAACCCAACACACGGGGACAAAGAAATTGTCCCAAGGGCCAATCCAGAAACAACCAAGCCCCAACGCCTAGAAGTGGCAAAGCCCCGAATGCCCAACTCCCGAAACCCTTAGAACACTAGTAACCCCAGAACCCCAGAACCCTAGAACCCTAAACGCTGCCCCATGAACCTGTAAGCGCTATAACCCCCCTAGAAAACTTGCAAGCCCTGCAGCTCTACTGGACGCTCAACGTTTAGGGCTCAAGAGTTACAAGGTTCAGGGGGTTTATGGTTTAGGGCTAGGGGTTCAAGGTTGAGGCCTGTTTGCACCTTCTCAACAACGGAAACAGTTCTCACCGTATGCTGATTTGCAGAGATCGGCAGTCGCTGCAAGGAGTAGCTTCCTCTTGCCACAGGATCCAAAGTGGTACTTGGCATGTTTCCTTGTTTCAGAATGCACTGGGCACTGCTTTCTTGAATATGTACACGCCAAGCAGGTTCAAGCCTGCGCCGTCTGTCTTTGACCAACCTGCCAATATCTACGCGCCACTTGAAAGCCAAGCCTCCTTCCACGTGCTTTGCACTTGCTGCGAGTGCTTTGAACATGCTTTGCACGGTACTGCATGAGCTGCACGAATGTGTCCACATGGTCTGCATGTAGAGAAGAAGACGATGGCCTCGTTCTCTGCGTCGACCACGTAAGGAAAAGAGATGTTGGCGATGAAGAAGGGTACGAGGGTCGCCCGGCAAAAAAAGGCATGGCATCTCCAGCTCAGCTGGTCATGAGTGCTGGGTTGCAGAGTCCTGGGATAGCTCCCGAAGCAGCACGGGCTGAGAGCCCAAATCAGCCGGTTTAGGAAACCGCCCCAGAAACTCGCGCCCTTGTTGCCGGGGACTGCCCACAGTCCGCTGGTAGCTAGGGAGGCCGCGAAGAATATAGCAACCAGAAAGGCTGAGCACAAGCCAGTCCCGATCAGTTGTGCTAGGCGCAGCGCCTTCCCGACCTGAGGCAAGGGTTGTCCATACGCCTCTTCCGAATTCTCTGGGCCAGGTGGCACAACCCCGGTCAGAGACCCACAGTTCTTCTTCGCACCGGCCGTCTAGCTGTGCTTGGGCTCATCATCATCATCATCATCATCTTCTTCTTCTTCTTCTTCTTCTTCTTCTTCTTCTTCTTCGTTCGAGTCCGCCTACTTTCCTGGGTCTGGAGCCTTGGGAGACGGGCTCTCTGGATCTACACGAGCTATGCTTCCCCGACCGATAGGGTCGGAGAACTCCACGCAGGGGGCCACCCTGTTCGCAGGGATCTCTACATCTACACCACCATGTACAACATCTACATGGGGGCCTTGGGAGCCGGCAAATGGCAATTTGACGTTCGGGGTAGAGTGTGGGGTTAAGGGCTTCATAGGCTTGAGGGCTCTTTTCGGCAGTGGACAGATACAGGGACAGTGCCACGAGCTTCCTAGCAACTTAGCGACATCTTCACACCAGCAACTATACATTATATACCATACAACATAAACTCCCTCTCTCTCTATATATATAATCAATATTTGGATCAATGAAAAGATGTGACTGCAGGCCCTACTTAACCCTGAAAGCCGCACCCCAAGCTTTACTGTCCTAAAGCCCGAAACCACCTCAGGAGATGGGCCAAAGAGTCCTAGAAGAAGGACCAGCCAGAAATGTTGAGATATAGACATGGTTTCCAAGTGGCCTGAGATCTCGGGTCCGAGGAACCTAAGCCCGAAAACCCTAAACACCCAGTAAACAAATTATGCCTGCAAGCCCCAAGCCCCATATAAGCCCTTGAAACCCTAACTCCTGAAACCTTAGAGCCCGATAAGCCTTGCACTCCCTCAAACGCTCGACCCGAAACCCTAAACCCTATAGACTGAAACCAGGGCGCATCGTGGAGCTCCATTTCGAAATATCCTGGAGGGCTCCGCATGAGAAATCTGAAGGGCTTAGGGGTTTAGGGTTTCAGGGCTTTAGGGTTTAGAGGGATTTATGCGGTGGGTTGAGGGTTTGGGGCTTACCCTAAAGCACAAGGATACAGCTTTGACTCTTTACCCCGAACACAAACCGCTGTATATTAAGCAGAATAGTTCTCAGGATCCCGAATCAAAGGGTATTGGGTTTGCTGTGCCCTACTGAGCTAATAATCAGGCTCTAGGGGCTCGAGGAACAACCTCCATGGTAGGTTCGCGGAGCTGCAGGGTGAGGGAATGACTGGGCCGCAACACACAGACAAAGTGACCTGGATCACTGCCCGGATCGTGCTCATTAAGCACTTCGGAGATCAGGCAACATTCATGGAAACTACAAGAACTGCATGCCAGACCTCTGTTCCCATAAGCCCGTCCTGCTCCGCCGGCCGAGATCGGACGGTCATGGATTCTGCCAGCGCATTTGGGGAAGGGCTGCAAGCTCGGTAGCTCTTGCTTGTAGATGTCTGTAGATCAAAGCTTGCGGGAGGGGGCGGTGATGATGCTGACTGGTTCTTGACTTTGTCGAGCGGAAAGCAACAAAGCAAGACGATGAATGGCCGCAATGCACAACGAGATTTATGCCCTTTGAGGGCATCCCATCATGACACTTTCATCGTCAAGTGCTCGACGCAAGACCAAGCTACACCACTTGAAAACACGGCCAACAACAATGTGAGAGTCACCTGGTCCATGCCGATGTCGATGTGGAGGTTTCCACAAATAGGGGTACTGCTTTTGGGGGTTCCTTCTCTAAGGATTATCCTATTTTGCTGGTCTATTCAGGGTGCCCCTTTTTTTGGGAAATACCCATGATCACTGAAGTCTGACAACGCCAGTTTTCCGGGGGTGCATCGTCAGGAACTGGCGTGTGCCTGTCCGGAAACGGCTTCCGGAAATCACCTCCATTAAGATAATTAAGTCTGCCCCGGAGTCATCGTTGTGCGGGTTAGGTTGATTTCTTGTGTTGGATTCAACAGTTCAAGGTGGTTTGTGTGTGGCTTCAAGAGGCCTCAGCCTACATCAGATCAGGACTCCTGGGCATAAAGTGTCAAACACGATGCAATGGACCAAACCTGCAATGTCAGCTAGATGGTCAGGAAACTCATGCATTGGTTTCACAGACCTTGCTTCGAATTCTTTCCTTGAGTGGGTTTCCGAGATGTGGCCCACTACCTCACAATCCAAATCCCTGACGCCCTAGACTCTTGACCCTAAACGTATGTATGGCTATTTTATGCTTTTCTGTATGTGTACACACTATGGACACATATATATATATATACACATATATGTACATGCATGAAACTGGAATCCTGAACTCCCACTCAAAGCAGCACGTGCGCAAACAAACTACATGCACCGCCAAGATGTTCTCGACCCAAAGAGTAACCTAGGAATAAGAAAAGGGCACCCTTCTTGGTTTCAAGGGGCCTTACATTCTAAGGGAACCCAAAGCCCAGAAAAGGGATAGAGCCTACTCAGGCTGGTGGTGGCAGTTCTGGGTCTTCGGGCCGTTCAGCATGGCAGGGCTTGAAGCATGGCAGGGCTTAGGGCTTATAAGCAGCTACCGGGGTTTAGGGTGCACACCTGAAACCTCTCAACCGACGAGCTCCACTATGCCGCACTCTTATTCGGCACATAACATGACAACTTAAGGTGTCTGTCGACATGCCGCACCAGTCTTCAGCTGCTGAACGAGCGCTGCCTTCCACATAAAGCATTGACACAGATCACCGGGCTTCTTAACTAGACAACGCCAATCCCCGACAACTTAAAACAGCAAACCTGAAGACTGGTTAAACCTAGACACCCCCCCCCCCCCCCAAATCCTCAAAACCATAATGGCCATTGCCAGCTTGTGACGCCACGGAGAATCTAGACTACGATATAAATACACAAACAAACAATAAGTATACATATATATATATACATATATAAATACAAAAACTGAGTATAGTACATTACATATGTGGATTCTAGATGTATCTTGAACTGAAACACCTTAGAGTCATCTCGGCCGTACCGATCTACGGTCCTGCGATCCGCGATGCTCGTGCCGCTACACAGACGAGCCCCCAGCAACGCAAGGGTTTCGGCTTTGGGCTTGAGGCTTTAGGGTCTTTAGGATTTAGGGTTTAGGATTTGGGGGTTGTTCCCCCAGAGTCCGATTAGAATAGGGGGTACTATTATCCCTGTTAAGGACTGTTTAGTGTAAGGGGGAACATCCCAACTTTAAGGTCTAGGGCTCTGAGGGACTTAAGGTTGAGGTTGTGATTTAGATGTTCCTTCGGTTCTTGGGGGGGGGGGGGGTTGGATTTGGGCTCAGGGGTTCGGGGCTCCTAGGTGGTGGCGGAAATGGAGGGGAGCCCTGAAGTTCAGCAGTTTGAAGAGCCTTCTGCCGACAAAAGTACCAAAGGACCCCCAAAACAACCAGATATCAACTAGCACTCAAGGAGCTTAAGCTTGGGGTTCTTCTGATTCCCAACACACCAGGCTCCTCCAAGCCCGGCAAGCAGCCCTTTATGGCTTAGGGTTTTCTTGTGCTTAGGTTCTAAACTAGGATGGCCCTTACAGTCCTCGCAAAGAGCATTCCTAAGCAGGGGACGTCTGAAATACCTCAAGGGCCTGCCTAGTTGAGGGAGCTCCAATGTGAGAGCGGCTCCAAATTATTGTTTCAGCCCCTGCTTTGGAGGCAAAATGAGGTCCTTGTCTTTGCGAGTGGAGGGCGACGTTTCAAGGGCTTTGATTTGGGGATCACATATTTACGCGTAGATTGTGTTATGGTTGGTGTGTGTGTGTGTGTGTGTGTGTTTTTTGTGTGTGTGTGTGTGTGGGTGTGTGTGTGTGTGTGTGTATGCTTTTTTTTTTTTTTTTTTTGGTGTGTGGTGTGGTGTTTTTTTTTTTTTTGTGTGTGTGTGTGTGGTGTGTGTTTGTTGTGTTTTTTTGTTTTTGTGTGTGTGTGTGGTTGTGTGTGTGTGTGTGTGTGTGTGTGTTGTTGTGTGTGTGTTGTGTGTGTGTGTGTTTTTGTGTGTGTGTGTGTGTGTGTGTTGTGTGTGTTTTTGTGTGTGTTGTGTGTGTGTGTGTGGGTGTGTTTGTGTTTGTTTGTGTTGTGTTTGTGTGTTTGTGTGTGTGTGTGGTGTGTGTGTGTGTGTGTGTGTGTGTGTGTGTGTGTTTGTGTGTGGGTGTGTGTGTGTGTGTGTTGTGTGTGTGTGTGTTTTGTGTCTGTCTGTGTGTGTCTGTGTGTGTGTGTGTGTGTGTGTGTGTGTGTGTGTGTGTGTGTGTGTGTGTGTGTGTGTGTGTGTGTGTCTGTGTCTGTGTCTGTGTCTGTGTCTGTGCGTCTGTGCGTCTGTGCGTCTGTGCGTGTGTGCGTGTGTGTGTGTGTGCGTGGTGCGTGTGTGTGCGGCGTGCGTGTGTGGTGTGTGCGTGTGTGTGCGTGTGTGCGTGTGTGCGTGTGTGTGTGTGCGTGTGTGCGTGTGTGCGTGTTGCGTGTGTGTGTGTGTGCGTGTGTGGGTGTGTGTGTGTGGGTGTGTGTTGTGTGTGGTGTGTGTGTGTGTGTGTGTGTCTGTGTGGGTGTGTGCGTGCGTGCGTGCGTGCGTGCGTGCGTGCGTGCGTGCGTGCGTGCGTGCGTGCGTGCATGCGTGCGTGCGTGCGTGCGTGCGTGCGTGCGTGCGTAGGTGGGTGGTCAAATGGGTGGGTCGGTGTGCTCGTGTGTGGGTGGGTGTGCGTGTGCGCGTTTATGTGTTGAATCGAGTGGCCCCTAAATGTGACCACAGTGACGCCGCTAGTCGTCAGAATATTCAGGGAGCTGCTGTTTCTACTTTTCAGAGGGGTTCGCACCTTCCGGTCTCCATTGCGCAGCGTTTGAAGACCTCTCTCTTACTGTCATGTGTACGCACTGGCCAAGACACCAAAGTCGACAGCGCACGTACTAGATTTACTAGATCGTACTGAAGTATGTCCCTGACACCGGGCAGAAACCACACAGAAAGAAAACCGAGATGCAAGTGGCAGTAGGGAGATGAATCATGCAATGCCGAGGGGATGGATTTAAATACAATACGCTTGACGATTGCTTGAGCCTTACCACATTATGTCTCTGCATGACCTGCTGCCTGGATGTATTCAATTTTATCTGCTTGAGTTTACGGCAGTCTCTTGCGTGGGTGTGCTTGTCCACACGTGCCACCGCTCAGTCCATCTACCTGGCCATGAGAAGCTGTGAGCTTGCAAAATACGTTATATGGGTGGGTGCACGGGAGGGGTCCACAATGAGTGTGAGAATGAGGGTCATAATGCTTTGGGGCCTCTATCAGGAGGAGCCCCACTTGAGCAAATGCAGTATTCCAACATGCTATATGATACGATGCTCTGGAAGCACTACTATATTGTGGTTCTGTATAAGGCACACACAGGCAAGCTTACAGTGAGGATGAAGTGGTCTTCGGCTGAAACTTCGGACCCCATGAGCAACATTCCAAGCCAGAGAAACTCCTCGCATGCACACGCCCATAAAGCCCCACCCACACACACACACACACACACAAAAAAAAACAAAAAACACAGACACAGACACAGACGCAGACACAAACACAGACACAGACTCACTCACGTAGAGTCACGGAATTCTCTACAATAATAGTGCCAATAAGTACACGGCTATAACATGGATGAATCCACTGTTGCGCAGTGCGTTCAACACCCAGCCTTGCACCGAGCATCACCGGTGCTCCGTGGGCTCACAGCTGCAGAGTAACGCCAGGCGAGGGCGGACAAAGTCCTGTTAAGGATTAGGGTTTGGGGCTCAAAGTTTCTAATTTCCGGACGGACACAATGGGAGCTTGGCTGTCATCTAAGCTGCTAGATAAGATGCCAGTTTACTCAACGTCTGAGGGCTTCAGTCTGGCACACAAGACGCAGAAGATGCGCCTAATATAGGGGTCGGAATAATTACGAAGAGTATGTCCTTATGGTCCCTATAAAACCCCATTCTACTGCTTCATTCCCTTCGTATTACTTCTCCAGCAGCTTTCTCGTCCTCGCCCTCGGAATCGCTGAAGGTTGCCTGCCGTGGTGGAGGAGGACGGGAAAAGATGAGAAAGGACTGCAGAAAGCCCGGTTTAAGGTTTAGGCTTACCAGGGTTTAGGGTTCACACGACATTCACTGCTCGAGAAGCCAAAAGATACGACGCTAAAGTGGCCTCGATATACAGTTCACGCAAACAGCTCCAAAAAAAAACAGCCACCCTAAACCCTAAACCCTAAACCCTAAACCCTGAACCCTAAACCCTAAGCCCTAAACCCTAAGCTTCTTCGAGCCGCTGCACTTCTGTTTCGGGAAGTGCGGGGAGTTATGGGGGGTGCGATGACAAGGAACCATGGCAAGTTCGTGGCTTGGGGCATGCTCTTCGCGTGTATAGGGTTTAGGGTTTAGGGTTTAGGGTTTAGGGTTCCCAACGCCTGGAGGAGAGTTCCAGCTGGAACCCAACACTACTACTTCAGTTACCGCAGCATGGGGTCCCTCATGACCTAGTCTGGGAGACCCTAAACCCTAAGCCCTAAAACCCCAAGCCGTAAATCATAAAACCCTAAGCCCTTAGCCCTAAACCCTAAACCACAAACCCGAAACCCCAAGCCCCAAACCCTATTCAACTAGAATGGCTACCTTAGTTCATCCACACCGGGCTCCCGACGGAAGAGACGATGTCGTGCAGCACTGGCATGCCGAAGCCTGGTCAAAGGCGGGTATAGGGTTTAGAGTTTAGAGGGTTTAGGGTTTCGGGTTTAGGGTCTCGAGATGCCAGGCGTGCCTGCGATGGAAGTTTCGGAGCCTTGGATCCGGGCTTGCCTTGTTGAGGTATGGGCGTGATCACGACCCTAAACCCTAAACCCTAAACCCCAAACCCTAAACTTCCTGAACCCTTACTAAACCCTAAACCCTAAACCCACGAATCTACCGGTACAGGCGGGTCGCCCAAACGTGAGCAGGTAGAGACTGGAAGGATGTGAGAAAGCACACGATTTTCAACAGGCCAAATGATTCTTCCCAACATAATCTGCATTTTAGGGTCCAGGGTTCGGGGTTTAGGGTTTCCCTTGTGAACCACGGTGATAAATCCCCCAAAGGACCTTTAGGATGAGTCTCAATTTGCAGCTGATGATGAAGGGCTTCGATACATACCCGGTGCGACGATCTTCAGATTCTGACGACGAACTCAATGTGCCACTTTATACACACGTAAACCCCCTACCCAAAAAACACCCTAAACCTTACAAAGGCCGAAACCCTAAACCCTAAACCCTAAACCATAAAACCTAAACCCTATTTACCCTAAAACCCTAAACCCTAAGCCCTACTTAGAAACCCCAAACCCACCCCCGCCCCCCCCCCCCCCCCCCCCCCAAAAAAAAAAAAAAAAAATAGGGAGCACAGAAAAACCCAAACCGAGGGAAGCCTCTTTGCTCAAGGAACCCATGCTCTCCAGAGACCTTCGCCAGGCAGGGGTTAGGGTTTAGGTGTAGGGTTTAGGGTATAGGGTTTAGGGTTGAGGGTATAGAGTTCAGGGTTTCAGGGGGTTATATAAGGGGGTTAAGGGGGTTTAGAGGGGTTTTCATGGGCTTTGTTTGGGGGTCTTGAGCTTGAGGTGTAGGATTCAGGGTCTTGAGCGTCAAGTTTGGAGTTTGGGCACCCCCAAAATGCCCAATCCCGAAAGCCCCAAGGCCTCAATGCCGATCACCCAAACCCTGACAGTGCGGTTTTGGGTTCAGGGCTCAGGGTTTAGGGTTCGGGGTTTAGGTTTTAGGGTGAGGGGTTTAGACCTTCGGGATTAGGGCTCAGGGTCTATCCCTAAACTCAAGGGCTTAAAGGAGGGACCCTTATAAAGGACCTTAGGGATTCTTTACGGGTTCTTTCGGGGCTACTTAGGTGCATAGGGGCTAGAAAAGGTATATATAGGGGTTATATACAGGAATAAGATTTAATTAAGGGTCCTTCTGTGGGTCTTATACCCCTTGATAAACCCTCTGGACAACTGTTGGAGGACCTCCAGCGGCTCGAACATCGGAGTTCGCGTCCTCATGAGCTGAGCAACAAACTGGTTGCCGGGTTTAGGGTTCAGGGGTTTAGGGTTCAGGGTTAATGTTGCACGCGTTTTAGTGAAAGGGGCACTATGATGCGTTTTTTCCGGAAATCTTATAGGGGACCCCCCCCCCCCCCTTGATGAGGTGCGCGGGCCGGGGATGAAGGGCGGGGGGCCGGAAACTAAAACTGATTTTGAATAAGAAACTCCGGAATTTTCTGGTGTCCGGCTTTATTTAATTTCCTCACGAAACAGGCCCCCAGACAATTTTCCAAGGGAGTAGCCCACGAGCTGCCCTGATTCGCTTTTAGTAAATTGTTTCGGTTACCCGCGTTAGTCCGCAGCCCCCGTGGTCAGGGAGCTACAAAGCCTGGAAAGCTTAGACCCTCAAGCTTCAAGGCTTCCCATCAACCCTCAACCCTCGACCCGTAGCCGCCCTACCCCCAGCCCCCGACCCAGATTCTTCAGGATCCCCAAAACCCCAAAATTGTTTGGGGGGGCGGGGGACCCCTGGACACGAGTTCAACATTAAACCCTAAACCCTAAACCCGAAACCCTAAACCTTGCGGGGTTCCGGCATTTTTGTCTGCTGGTCCCTGTTTAGGCTTCCCTTTGGAGGACACTGCTCCTAAACCAAAAAACCCAAGACCCTAAATCCCAAGACCCAGCTAGGGTTCCGAGTTTAGGAGCTACAGTGTCCTGAATTTCGGGTTCAGGATCCGGATAGAGATTCGCACTCCTTTGAAATTGGGAGACACATCCCAACACAGCTTATCAATCACTACTACGTCGAGCCGCTCTCGCCCGGAGAGCCGTGGAAATCTCCGGTGCGAGCCCGCCTGACCACAAAGCACCGAGGACTCTTCGATTGGTAGTTGCGGGTCGTCAAACCCTAGCCCGAAGCACTGGCACCTGAAACCAAAGACCCAAATTGACGTTTTGGGAGGTTGCTGTGGGCAAAGTACCGAAACGACTCGGCCCTTCAATTCTGCCGTCTTGCCTTGAATGACCTAGGACTTCGGCTAGTCTCTCCAGCAACAACCCTTATCTTGAGAAGTGTGTGTGTGTGTGTGTGTGTTCCTTGGTGTGAGATGCGTAACCCAAGAAAGTCCAAGGTTCTGGGCCTGCATAACGCTGCTGCCTCTGAACCCCAAGTGTGAGTGTAGGGTTTTGGCACTACACTGGGTTACCCAATCCCCCACAACATGAACCCTACACCAGACTGCCATAATCATATGGCGGGTGAACAACATGGTGACTGTAAACCCTCCACCTGCGAGAGGAACACGCAAGCGCAAAGATGCTGATGGCACATGTGGCGGCGCGTTTAAATCCCCAAGCGCTAAACCCTAAATGCTGAACGCTAACCCCGAAACCCTGAACCCCAAACCGCGATTGAATCCCCAAGGCAGAAACCATTCTGAGTTTAGGGTGCGTCCTCATGTTTCAGACTCTCTCCGACACAAGCTGCTGCCTAAGCATTAGCTGGCCCTGGCTTGGAACCCTGACGTGGCGGTGCTGTTGAGAAATTAAGGTTGATGAGGGTTCAGGAATTAAGGTTCAGGGTTTAGGGCTTAGGGTTTAGGGCTAGGGTTTAGGGGTTAGGCTTTAGGGCTAGGGTTTAGGGTTTGGGGGTTAGGATCACCGAAGTCGTTTGAGGAAGGACAAAAGCGGCGAAATCGAGCCAGGGCCTTGCCCAAGGCAGAGGCAGTGCTTCGCATCTGTCAGGGGCACACTCTCTCTTGCGGGATGATGCTTTGGGTGGTGGGGGGGTGGGGGGGTTTCAGACCACTACAGCTCCCTCATCTTTACGTCCCAGAGTGTGTAGAGCGCAAGGAAGAGAAGACTTCTGAGGGCATTCATTTGTGGAATACTGTAAGAAGTGCTTCTTAGAATCTCGGCGTCATCTGAGTGCTTCGGGGTAGACCCACCAGCCTGAAAATCCTTCTAAGAACCTCAAAACAACACTCTAAGAAGCCCCAACCCCTAAACCCACCAGAACCCAGAGCACCTGCTGAGTGGCTCTGAAAGCCAACTACTCGGGTCTGACGTGGCTGTGCTCCCTCGTTCACCCAATGCTAACATACACCTGGAGCATCCGTCACGCCCCTGCGCCCCAAACTCACCATCCTCTACTTGGACTCTGCTTTCGGTTGCCGATCGGGGAATGAAGAAACGTGTTGGCTATCATGTTTGTGGCCGTGCGAGTACTCTCAGAACTGTTCGGATCATGCTTACTCTTCCTTCTGTCCCTGGCAGGTGCCTTCATCGCTTCGAGCGCTTGTGTTCTTTTCTCCTCTTGCGCCTGAGTCATGGCTCATCAAACCACAATGCTACTTTCAAGTGAACACCAACCTGAAAGTAAAGCCGAAACAACTTGTGAACAAAAAGACCAAAACTAGACTAGACTCTATAAACCAAATCCTAAGTCATCGGCAATCCACCAACGTAAACGAAGCCCTCGGACTGCTAATGAAGCCTTGTACCGCAGAAACACGAGTCCAGTAACACCACTCATGGCTTTGGATTTGGAGTTCTGGGCATTTTTGGGTTTAGCCGCTAGGGTCCCCAAAGCCACACTGAAGCCCCTTGAACCCAAAACCCAAAACCCAAAACCCTAAACCTTAAACCCTAAACCCTTCCGCCTTTCTTTGCCAAGGGACCGCCTCGATCGCCGGAGGCATTGCCGCGCGCCCTGCCTCCCGCGCATTTAGGAGTTTAGGGGTGGCGGGAGCAAGTTGTACGGGTCGACAGAAGTGTTAAGTAAGCATTGCAAACGTGAATGGAAACTCGAGCCCTTGCAGCTGTGCCTTGCCTACAAATGGGTCCTCATCCATCCCAGGATGCCGCAATTCCCCAAACCCTGGCAGCCTTGGCACGAAGTGTTGGAGGGATGACCTGGCGTGGCAGAGACCCAAAAGTGGAATTCTGACAAGCGCTCAGGGTTCGGGTTTTCGGGTTTAGGGTTCAGGGACAAAGGTGGGTAAGGGTTCAGTGTTCAGGGTTCAAGGGTTTGAGGTTTAGAGGGGTCTTGATGCGTGATTCCACTGTGGAAAAAAGGTAGTCCTAAACCAGAGGAGCCCCTACATCTATCTATAACAGTAACAATAACAAAAACTAAAACTAAAACTAACTATAACAAGAACTACAACTATAGCTATAGCTATAGCGACAACTATAACTATAACAAAAACTATAAGTATAACTCTAGCTATAACTATAACTATAACTATAACGATAACGATAACCGCAACAAGAGCTATACCTATACCTATAACTATAACTACAACTACAACTACAACTATAATTAGAACTAGAACTAGAACTAGAACTATAACCTTTCAGTGCAATGCTGATGTGAGCCGCTGGCTCGTCGCCCGATGTAGCTGCAGGGTGCCGCAGGCTGCTGTTAGAAGGGCTTGAGAGTTTGGGGGTCTCGGGGACTGAAAGTGCTGAAGCCTCAAAACCCAAAGTCAAACCCTCAAACCCCAAACCTTCATTGAACTCGAATGGCCCCTAAACCCCTAAACCTTGAGTAAACCCTAAACCCCTACCCACGCTTCATTGAACCTAAGTGGCCCCTCAACCCCTAAACCTTAAGTAAACCATAACACCCCTTATCCACCTTAAGTAAACCCCAACCCCTAAACCTTAAGTAAACCCCTAAGAACCCCCACAGTATCCACCTGAAGTAAACCCTCATAACCCCAAACCTTATGTAAACCCCTAAAAGCCCCCTTACCCACCCTGAAAACAATCACTTCGGGTCGCCTGGTCCCAGGAGCCAAGGAGACGAACACCCGCGATGCAAACGGGGCCCTCGCGGCCGTTCCGCCCTCAGAAGAGGGTTTGGGGGCTTTGGGGTGTTTGGGGCGGTTTGGCTGTTGGGTGGGTTTTGGGGGGTTTTGGGGGTTTTAGGGGATTTTGGGGGTTTTGGGGGGTTTGGGGGGTTTGGGGGTTTTGGGGGTTTTGGGGGTTTTGCGGGGTTTTGAGGTGTTTTGGGGGTTTTGGGCGGTTTTGTGCTATTTTTAATTAAGGGACGGTCCAGGGTTTAGGGTTTAGGGCTCACGGATAGGTTTTGGGGTTTGGGGTTTAGAGTGTGGGGCTTTTGGAGCAATTTTCTCTGGTCTAAATTTCGGCGTTACTGTGCTATTTTTGGGTAGATCGGGTCATGCAAGGCAGTTGTATGGGCTTTTGGGCTGTGGGACTCTGGGGTGCGTTAGATGCTGGGTAAGGGGGGGAGTGTAAGGGAGGCCATGCTCTCTCATTAGGGCTCAGGGAGGCTTGTTTTGGGATTCTGAAGCCCTTAGTTGAGGAATATGGGGACCTTACCCCTTGGTTCCTTATGATGGCGTACATTGTGTACGCGGGTAGTGACAACGAGTTCCAGGAACTAAAACTCCGTGCTAAAATACAGGGCTTGGGGTTCCCCTCCCCCCCACATTGGTCTTAACAGGAAGCTATGTGCCTAAAGACTAAACCCTGAACCCTAAACCCTAAACCCCAAACCCTAAAGCCGGGGGGGTGAGGGTTATATCACTACCCGTAGACTTCTGGTGCATCATGAGGCCATGCTTTCAGACCCCGGACAAAGCCGTACACGGGCCCTCTGAGCAAGGGTTTAGGGTTTAGGGTTTAGGGTGTAGGGTGCAGGGTTTTAGGAAAGCCGAAACCCGGAACTCTAATTAAGCCCTCAACTGGCCCTTCTCACTGGGAGACCCGATCTGAGCTGCCCGTTGTCCAGGCTCCTGCTTCTACCCTAAACCCAAACAAAACCCGAAAATCACGCTTCCACGCAAGGTGGACACAAAACAACCTAAGTAGCTAATGCATATAAGCCGTCAATGGAAGCAGCTTAAACCCCGGGTTTCGGGTCTAGGGCTTAGGGTAAAGAACCAAGTCTGCTGCGTAGTCGTGGGGTTCGCAGGAAGGGCATTTCACGAGGCGAGCATGCCGCAGTACGTACCGCATGTAGTCCACCCCATAAGAGTGGTGTCCGGGTAGAAGCCGGCTGTGCTGCAAGTCTTAGCCGGGAAGGGGTGTGTATTCTAGGCCGCTACGTCCACGGCGAACCCTTACAGGGCTTAGGAGGGTTTAGGGTTTGAGGTTTAAGGTCAAACCTGAACGCCAAAACGCCAGAAAAGACCCAGAAGCCAGCAGAGGCGAAAAGAATCAGTTGCTCCTCATCTCCCCACCCCTCCGAAGCGCCAAATGTCCGTTCCGAAAGAGATGAAGCTTGACCAGAATACAATGTTGAGCAGTGCAGCCCTAAACCCCCAACCCCCCAAAACCCCTCCCAAAACCCCTCCCAAACCCGCCCAAACCCCCCAAACCCCCCCAAACCCCTCAAACTCGCAGACCAGAAGTCCCAAACCCCCAAGACCTAAACCCTACAAACCCTCAACCTCTCCTGTCGTGGGCCGTTTTGAACCACTCGAGGTGCAAGGCTGTGCAGGCATCGGGCCTATCTTCCCTCGCCTTGCGGAGAGAGCTTCAGGGACATCTTGGGGGACTAGCGACCAAAACTGTAAGGGGTATAAGGAGGGACCCCTAGAAGGGACCCTTAATCTTATTCCCCTAAATAACCCCTCGAAAGCCCTTGTATATACCATATATATGTATATATATATATATATATATATATATCCCTATATACCCAAGTAGCCACTAAAGAACCCCTAAATAGCCCCCAAGGTCCCTGAAAAAGAGTCCCTCCTTTAGTCCCTTGAAAACAACACCACAAAGGCTGAACACTAAACTAAACCCTAAACCCTTTTAACTTTTAACCCTAAACCCTAAACCCTAAACCCTAAACCCTAAACCCTAAACCCTAAACCCTAAACCCTAAACCCTAAACCCTAAACCCTAAACCCTAAGCCCTAAGCCCTAAGCCCTAAATCCCTAAATCCTAATCCCAAATTCCTGCATCCCCAAACCCCTAAACCCCAAGCCCTCAACCTCGAGGCTTTTGGGCTTGGCACTCTGCATGGGTTCGATGGCTTCAGGCTTTAGGGGTTCGGGTTCCTGGCTGCTTCGGGTTTTGGGGGTGCAGGAGGGTTACAACTTTAGGGTTCAGGGTTTTGGGTCATTGGGATAAGTTTAGGGCTCTGGGCTGCTGTTGCAGAGAATCGCATTTAGAGTTCGGGCTTTCAGTTTGCAAACTTCCAGAGAACTTGCAACACCAATTCAACAACACCTTCTGAAATAGCAAACCCCAAGGCCTAAACACTTCCTTCCCTATGCCCGCAACCCCGGAACCCCACACTCCCTCATCCCTAAACCCTAAACCCTAAACCCTAAACCTCTCTCGGCAAACTCTGTCGGGTTCCTTCTGCGAAGCTGACAAACCGACAGATCTGCCTTGGTGAGCAGCTGCTTCAAAGCCGCAGTGGCCACGGCGGAGGCCTACGGAGCGTTTCTAAACCCTAAACCCTAAACCCTAAACCCTAACCCCTAAACCCTACACCCTAAACCCTAAGCCCTAAGCCCTAAGCCGCCTAAGCCCTAAACAGGCACTTGGCGAGACTATGGGGGGCTTTAGGGCTTCAGGGTTTTGGGGTATTGGGTATAGGTTTTCGGGTTTGAGGGTATAGGGTAGAGGGCCTGCAGAAGCTTCAGGGGTAGGGTTTAGGGCTTTAAAGACCTCAGAATCGCAGCGCCACTCTTCAGTCAAGGATTCAAAGACTACCCTTCAGTGACTCATGGGGGCTATCATTTACAGGAAGGGAGTAAGTACCCCTAGGGGGGTCCTACCAAACAGAACTCCTTTCCGCCTGAAGAAAAAAGGACCCCCAAACCCTGGAAACCTGGAACCTTGGAACACTAGACCCTGAACACCCTAAGCCCCAAACTCTAATGCTACGTCCTAAGCCCTGCACATCCATAAGCCTTGGAACCTTCAACTCAAGACCCCAGACAAACCCTGAGAGTCCTAAACCCTAAACCCTAAACCCTAAACCCTAAACCCTAAACCCTAAACCCTAAACCCTAAACCCTAAACCCTAAACCCTAAACCCTAAACCCTAAACCCTAAACCCTAAACCCTAAACCCTAAACCCACCTTCAGCTCGAGACCCTCAGCCCGGCTCCACGCCTGATAGCTGGGATGATCCTGCGAGCAAATTGGCCTCGCTGCTGGCTCTGGGAGGCTTAGCGCCTTTTTGAGGTTTAGGGGTTTAGGGTTTAGGGTTTATAAGGGGGTTTAGGGTTTAGGGTTTGGGGTTTGGGGTTTAGGGTTTGTGGTTTATAAGGTTCGGGTTTAGTCGTACCGCGCTGTTCAGGGCACATGCCACTTGCAGAAGTGGAGCGTTTGCTGAAATACTCTGACGCAGGTTTTGGTGGCAATGGAGGGGCGCAGAAAAATCGAGGTCCCCAGAACAGACGACACATACTGTAGAAAGCCACGGTCGTGTCTCCATGTGCCACGCTTTTCGTTCAGTACGAGGCAGGAGACTCCAGTGCATTCATGCATGTGTATGTGACTGTGGGTGGCGAGGCGACAAACCGTTTTAAGGTGTGCTTGGAACACGACCGCGCGAGGTGAGTGCGAGAATCGAGTAAGTGAGTTGGTCAGTCAGAGTGCGCCAGTGCCTCAGTGAGTGAGCGACCTCGCAAACCATGAAGCTAAACCTTAAACGCTTTGTTGGAGTACCATATATATATATATATATGTGCATATATGGCTCCGTATACCGACAGGACGATATCCTTAAAGATTCCTGGCAAGCCCTTGCGGCCCTGTCTGCTGGCCTGTAGCTAGGCTCTCGGTCCTCCTCACAGATCAGGACCTGCCCAGGAGGGGTTAAGGATCCGGGTGTGGGTCTAACCCTAAACCCTAAACCCTAAACCCTAAACCCTAAGCCCTAAACCCTAAACCCTAAGCCCTAAACCCTTATGGCTTCGGGTTTGGGAGCCTTGGGGTTTGGGGTTGAGGGTGCGGGATTAAGGTTCGGAAACCCACAACTGCATATGACCTCGCAACCGCGATAACCTCAGGGCAGGACAAGGCCATGCCAAGTGCAGGCCCGAAGCAGAGTTTAGCTCTCCGCAAGCAGGTCGGTTATATCCTACGGAATCCTCCGTTCTGGCAGTGGATTTAAGGCTTAGAGTCAGGGACTGTAAGCTGTTAGGTAAACTGCTGCATCCGCAGCAGCTGTACCTGCAACTGCTCTATAGTCGAGTACTGCAGGTGACGTAACTGCAGCAGCTGCTAAGTACCGTGACGCGACTCTGACAGCTGCAGGGTCATTAGCTATACTATCATTGAGCTGAGTCTGAGATTTGCGGGGCTGCCCAACGACTCGATAGTTACTATAGTTGTAGGAAAGATGGTCTTGGTGGGAGTATGTGGGTAGTTGGGCCACGGGACCTGGGTTGCCGCAGTGCTTCCAGCATGATTTTTGTTTCCTGAACTTTTCCTGTTGTTCGTCTTTGGGGTGGAGGGGGGCGGGGGTTGGGGGGGACAAGAACGTCATTCAGATTCCGCCCATGCACAAAACACTGGTATGTACTGAATTTTCGCCTCTTTGTACACCATACGGCGCAAAGCTGTCACAAGCGTCCATGCCTTTGGCGTCCATGCCCAAAACACTGGTATTTGCGGCGTGTTCGCCTCTTTGTACAGCATACTGCGCAAGGATGTGGGCCAGGAAACGTTGTCGCAAGCGTCCATGCTTTTCTCGCGGCGATGCCCAAAACTTTGGTATTTATATACCACGTTTTTGCCTCTTTGTACAACATACTGCGCAAGGATGTGGAACAAGAAAAGCTGTCACAAGCGTCCATGCCTTCGGCGACGAGGCCCAGCACACTGGTATTTACAGCATTTTTGCCTCTTTGCACAGCATCCTGAGGGATTAGGCTCCGGGTTAACATCGTGTATCTCAGAAACCGAAGCGCAACGTAATCGCAAGAACCAAGCAGCAAAAAGTAAGAATTCAACTAGTTTTTTGGTATGTTTTGAAGACGGTTTTTTCAAGAAACGTGTCAAAACCACATTTCCCTTCAAAGAAAGTCCACGGCAACCCAGGACCCGTTGTCCGGGTAGTTCTCTAAATTAGTGTTGCTTTTTGGGCTCCGTATTATGAGGGTGCCGCACTATTAATAGGACTCCAAAACAGGGACCCTAACTTGGAGACCTACCCGCTGTAGAAAGCACGAAATTGGTCCTTTTGCCGAACCACACTCCTGAATGTGATCCTCTCCAGCCCACTGAAAGCAAACCATGAACTATCCCAAGGGCCTGCCTAGGGTTTGGGGTTTAGGGTTTGGGGTTTAGGGTTTGGGGTTTGGGACTTAGGGCTTAGGGTTTAGTGAACTTACCTGGAATCTTAAAGAGGATGACTGCAGCCAACTGCACATCTTCGAGCCTCCAACTGGGTCGGGTTTCGATCGTGGAAAGGAAACTGTCCAAACATGGCCAGGTACAGGACAACCTGAGCCAGTGTTCGCTGCGTCTTAACCAGTTTCGACAGAGTCACAGATCCACCCACCCCTTCCCAAACCCCGCCCGTCCTACACGCTTAGCGGGTTTGGGGTTTGAAGCTTTAAGGGTTTAGGGCTAGGTTTAGCGTTTCAGGGCGAGGGTTTCGGCTTTCAGGGTCCGGGGTTGAAGGATTTCAGGGCTCAGGGTCCTGCGGGCTGAGGGCTGAGGGCTGAGGGTTCAGGGCCTAGGGATTATAGGGTCTAAGGTGTAATTAGGGTTTTAAAGTTGAAATCCTCAGGGCGGATCCCGGTATAACCCGTTCTTGCACCATCCGAACAGCCGAGCACGTGGCCCCAGCCGCCCACACGTCGACGCTTGGGGAGTAGTCGTGGAACCACACCTCCAGGCAGGACCCTAAGCCCGAAACCCTAAACCCTGAACACTAAACCCTGGATCGGGGTCTGGGCTTTCAAAAGTAGGGCTTCGGGGCTTTAGGGTTGTACGGAATGCCTACGCGCGTTTTAGGGCTTTAGAGCTTTCTGGGTTTGGGGCCTTAGAGCTCGAGTTTCCTTGTGGATTGCAGGGTAGGTGGGGGGGGGGGGTTGGGTTTTTTTAGGGTTGTAGGGTTTTAGGGGTTAGGGTTTTCAGTGTTTTTAGGCTTTTCGGGTTTTGGAGTTTTAGGGTCCTGGATTAGGGCTTTGGACTATTTAGGTTGAAGGGGGCCTTCAAAGATTGTAGGGAGTAGGGTTTGTGCTCCGGTGCGTGCGGGGTGGACACTCTTTTTGAACAAAAGCAGAGTCAACAAGAAACAAAGTCCCAATGCGGTATGGTTAGCGTACTCTTCCGAAGGACATCTTTAAAAGCATATTTCCAAGTTACCGTGGATTCTCGGAATTGTGCACACTGTGGGAGGGCTGTAACCCACCAAACAAGAACGGAGACATGTTGCTCCAAACCCTGAACCCTGAACCCTGAACCCTGAACCCTAAACCCTAAACCCTAAACCCTATAGACCCTAAACCCTAACCCCTAAACCTACACACTAACAACCCCCCCAAACAAACCCCGAACCCCGAACGCTGCGGCCTCGGGAGCGCAGTAGTAGGCCGTCCCGCACACGAGGTGCTCCAGTGGAGGCTGGCCAGGTTCGGGTTAGGGTTTGGGGTTTAGGGTTTGGGGTTTAGGGTTTGGGGTTTAGGGTTTGGGGCTTAGGGTTTGGGGGTTAGGGTTTGGGATTGAGGGCAAAGGGTATAGGCTTTAGGGGCAACTTCGTGCTTTCTATATGGGTAGTTCGCTAAATGAGGGTCCCTTTTTCGGGTCCCCTATATAGAACGTGCATGAGAGCTTCGGGGGGTCTTTCTTTCCGAGTCATGCTCCTTCAGCGCTATCTAGACTCCCCGAGCCTCAGAAACCCTAAACTCAAAACCACGGAAGCCCCAAAATCCTGAATCCTAGGCAGCCAAAAACCCTTTTTTCATTTTCGGGTGTGTGGGGTTCAGGGTTTTGGGGTCCCTAAACCCCGCAAACTCCTAAAACCCTGCAGCCCTTCCCATGACGAAGGCTTCGGCCTCCTGCTGACACATTCGGAACCTGGAGCGCAGCGAAATTTAGGTTTAGGGCTTAGGGTTTGGGGTCCGTGCACATATCCAACAACGGGGCGGGGGGGGGAGGGGGGCATGGACCCTACTAAACCCAAACCCGATTCCCGCAGTGTGATGAGTTAGGTTCCCAGGCGTGCCGACTGGAAAATGACAAGGAGGAGCTGACTGACGGGATGCGAAACATAATCTGAGGACCATCATGTGGTGAGGGAATAGAAATATACCTTAGATAAAAGTGAAGAAAGCCCGAATGTAGGAGTCTATTGAATTAGAATGTGTAAACTTGAAACCTTTGGGTAGTAGTTCATATTCTGACTGTGTAGGGGAGAATTTGGTTATCTCCTCGGCTCTGTAATTCACTCTCTGCGTATAAGCCCCATCTTCTAAGCCCTATAAACCCTATAGGGGCTGCACACCGGAAAAAGCCCCGCAAAGCCCACATAAACACCTAAAACCCCAAAAGCCTCGCACACCCTGTGAAGTCCCCTGCACTCTCTTAAGGGTTTAAAGTTTAAACCTTAAGCCTCCAAACCCTACCTAAAGCTCGTTAAAACCCTGGCCCCCTAAACCGCCCCCTAAAACCCCCCTGAAACCTCCCCTAAAACCGCCCTAAGACCTGCTTTTCAGAGCAGGGCGCATAAAACTGGAGGAGTGTTCCATGCGGAGCGCCAAGCCGAAGTCGATGAGCTACAAAGGTGAGGGTTTGATTGTTTATGGCTTGGGGTTTTTGGATTTAGGTTTGTAGTTTTAGCAGTTTAGGGCTCAGGGCTTAGGATTTGGGGTTTAGGATTTAGGAATTAGCTTTGCAGGCCTTCAAGGGAGTAATTGTATTTTCATTTTTTTGGAGGGGGGGGGGGGGGAGGGCTTTTGTTTTCGGGCTTTTTTCGAGAGGCTGAGTCCTTTCTGCAGACTTTTGTGAACTGCTAGGCTTGTCAGTCCTAAAGAATGGCCTGAGAGTTCATGTACCTCATTATGGAATAGGGACTTTAATGCACAAGTATATCCTATTTAGGTACATGGACCCTTAGGGATGGTTAACGGTGGTCTACTAAAGGGGCCCGTCCGGGTCTGTTTGGGCTGAGTTTAACATGATGAGGGACGGCACTGAAAATCCGCCGAGGCCTCGGGCCTCAAATAATTACCCCCACCCCCCCCCCCCCCCCCCCCAAACCGGGGTCCGCAAGCGGACGGTTCGCCAGGACCAGAGGCAGTTGAAGCCCCTCCCAGCAAGGCCCCCCCCCCCCCCCCCCCCCCCCCCCCCCCCCCCCCCCCCCCCCCCCCCCCCCCCCCCCCCCCCCCCCCCCCCCCACCCCCTGACTCCCTAGCCTTAAAAGTATCTGGCTCCTGTGCTACAGTAGCTATTGGGGGCTGTGTGAGGCGTTATTGAGGTGTCGAAACACCAAACCCCAAACCCTAAACCCGAAACCCGAAACCCTAAACCCGAAACCCCAATCAAAACGACTTCGAGTCACCCCTTCCAGCCTTGATATGCCACCGCCTCGTCTTAGCGGGGTCCTCCCCAAGGAGTATGTTCTCCGCCTGTGTGGCTCAAGGGGTATAAGGAAGGGACCCTTCATCTTATTCCCCTAAACCCTAAACCCCCTTTATACCTTATATAGTCCCTATATACCAAAGTCCCTTGATGTGGTGAGTCCCGTGAAGTGAGCGCTTGGTTTCTTTTTTTTTGACCTCGAAATCCCCAAAACCCTTGAACCTGACTACCCCCCGCCCCGCCCCAAACCTGAGAAGCCCTGGCCCTGAGAGCCAGAAACCCTAACTAAGAGCCCTGAGCGCCCTCTAGGACACCAACAAAACCCTAAGAACTCCAAAAACTCGTTGGGCGGATCACGTCGAGGCGTTGGGCCTTAGAAGATTTATAGATCATATGAAGTACGAGTAGGGTTTATATTTCTTGTGCCCCCCAAAAGGACACCCAATATATACGCTCACCAATATTAAAAAGGAACCGTATATACACTCACCAATAACAGTAACATAAACCTGTTTCATGTCCTTCAGAAGGATGGAACATGGAAATAAGAGACCATTCTGGGGACAGGTATTTAGAACAACTGCGATAGACGCTAATGGAAGATGCAGGTCATGTGATCTCAGTTCATGTGATTGTAGTCTTTTTTTGAGGAGATTGGTGCTTCAGGCTTCAGTGTTCTGCTGCTTAGGGAATCAGGTGGTCTTATGGTATAGTGCGTGGTTTTGGGGTCCTCTGGGGTTTAGAGGGCCTCTGGCTTTTTGCGGGCGTGTGCCGCGCCTTGACGTCCCGGTGGATGATGCGTCGCAAGTGCAGGTGCTGCAACGCCTGAGGGGACAACATGGAACTTGCCCAAACCCTACACCATAAACCCCCGAAAAGCGGGGTTGGTCGGGCTCAATTCCAAGGCCCCTAGTAAAGAGTTTAGGGTTTAGGGTTTAGGGTTCAACCTGCAAAACAAAAGGCTTTCGGCTCTTCTGAACCCAAAGCAGACAAACCCTGGGCCCCCCTTTCGATGATGGAAAGCGATGTGAACCTGTGCTGAGCGACACGAGCGCCACACAGTCTTACCTAAACTTTGCAAGGGTTTTGGGTCTTAGAGTCTAGGGTGTATAAGGTTTAGGGTTTAGGGTTTAGGGTTCAGGGTTCAGGGACCTGCTGAGCCGAGCCTGGAGGAGTTGGCTTCCAACCAGAGCGACGCAGCCCTCAGTGATGGCCTGGGGAGTTGCTGTTGTAAGGGCTTAGGGTTTTTAGGGTTTTTAGGGTTTTTTAGGGTTTAGGGTTAGGGTGTTTAGGGTTTAGGGTTTAGGGCTTAGGGTAGTTCAGGGAACCCTAAACCCTAAACCCTGAACCTTAAACCCCTTCGATTCCAAACCCAAGAGGTCCTGAAGGAGTCTGGGAATCTAACTGCTCTTCTACAATTCAGGATCATGTAAAAATAAGGTGTAGAGTTTAGTACCTCAAGAATATACACTTGTACTTTAAGACCCAAGTGTTCGCTGTTTTTTTGCGCATGGGCCCTTAAGGTAAGGTGGCATGGTCTTAGGATCACCCTAAGGTTGATCCTCACGCGGGCCAGGTTTTCAGGGAACGCTTTCGGCTTCAAGGTTTTCAACCGTGTAGATTCCAGGACCAGTACCCATCATAATCCGAGCTTCTGAGTTCCTTAGCCACAGAAGCATGTAGACTTTCAGTTCTGTAGGGGGTGATATTAGTCCAAAAGGTGTAAAGTGTGCTCATTCAGCTCCCCCAGGAAATCTCAACTGGCTTGTAGGCTACTACAAGCAATTTGGGGGTGGGGGTAAAGCGAAGCATTCATCACTCCCGGGTGAGCATGAGACGCAGGCCGTTCGCGGATTCGCAAGGGCCTGCGCAGCACACGGTAGCACCAGGACCAGAGGCCGTTCTACAGTCATGAGAGGGTTTGGGGGTTTAGGGTTTTGGGTTTGGGGGTTTAGGGTTTAGGGTATCGGGTTTAACGTTAGGGTAGAGGATTCATTGCGAAAATCTGCTCGGAACGACCTAAGCTTCTGCTTGCAGAACCCCCGAACTGCCTGGAACAGCTGGCCGCCGCTGATGTGCTCCATCACAAGAAAGAGCCATCGCTCCTCGTCAGATGAATGCGGGTTCAACAATCTCAACTCCGGGCTCAGGGAGCAGCTGGCATACGCAGAGCCCTCTAAGCCTAAACCCTAAACCCTACACCCTAAACCCTCTAAACCCTGAACCCTGAACTCTAAACCCTCCAACTCTACCAGTTGTGAGGTGCCATGTCGCAGGGAGTGGGCCGGCGGCCACAAAGGGCGCGCATCTGAAAACGCATGCAGCTTGCTTGAGGTCCCCTTTCCATCCCAAACATCCTCGCTGCATCCAGGGACTATCTTGCAGGGGCTAGGGTTTAGGGTTTAGAGTTTGGGGTTTAGGGTTTAGGGTTTGGGGTTTGGGGCTTGGGGGTTCTGTCTTGGGGGGCTGACCTAGATTGTGGCTCTAGGGTTTAGTGTTCAGGGTTAGGGTTCATTCCTGCTAAGGCTAGTAATGATAAGGGCCCATGATTTCCCTCGAACTGCAAAGGGTCCGCAGGGCTGGCAGTCCTTCTCGAAGACTTCTATCAGCTTGACGATGTGCGGGTGCGACACGGACTCCCAGGCACGGCCCTAAACAACCCTAAACCCCAAACCCCAAACCCTAAACCCTAAGCCCAAACCCTAAATCCTAAACCCTAAAACCATACTAGACCATCTGCAAGCCTACAAGAAGGACCGGAAAGCATCTCATCGTCTCAGAAAGACACTGCGACAGCTGCCCCGGCCTGAAGCACGCTCGCCTCAATCGCTCGAACACGAGGTTTGAGAGTTTAGGGTTCAGGGTTTGTTCGGGACTGAGGGAGATTCAGGCAACAAAACCACGAGCCCGGGAGGCTTAGTACTGTATCCAGACATGCTCAGCGTGGAGGGTCAAGAGGAAACAGTCCAAGAGCCCATCCATGCAGTATCCGGTGGTCTTTCAGCAACCAGCCTTGCACTTTCTTCAAAAGCGAGAATTCTTGCTCCACCACCACAACCTTTGAGCTCGTTGAAAGAAGTGGAACCATAGCTTTGGGTTTAGAGTGCCCCTCTGAGATTCGAGCCTCCTTCCGTGCAGACAGCCAGGCTCCTGCAACTTCGAAGACCTGCTTTCGGGTTCAGGGTTCTCTAGGGCTTTAAGGGCTTCCCGATAGGCTGGCATGTGCACGCGCCTCGCTCTTCGTGTCGATAGCCTGCAGAAGCACACTCTCGGGTTTAGGGTTTTGGGTTTAGGGTCTAGGTTTAGGGTTGGGTCGCATTCTTGAGTTTGAAAGCCGTGTCGAATAAACCCAAAAGGCTCCATTATAAGCCCCATCAACGCAACAGAAAACTTCTAAAATACTGAACCCATCCCTAAACCCTAAACCCTACCTAGACGCCTAGACCCTAGACCCTCCCTAAACCCTAAAACACAAGACCTAAACCCCGAACACTAAAGCAACACAAAACAGCCCATGGTCACCTGCCTTCACCGCATGCTTCACTGTCGCGTCATGCAGCAACCAGCACTTCCTAACCTGCGCGTTGGCATGGGTTCAGGGTTCCGGGTTCAGGGTTCAGGGTTTAGGGTTTAGGGTTCTAGGGTTTCAGGGCTTAAAGGTCTAAGGGCTTTGGCTTCGGGGTTGAGAAACTTTTTTGGTGGTGTAGGCTTGGGGCTGAAGGGACGAGGGTTGAAATCAATTTTCTAATCTCGATAATTTTGCGGATCCAGGAAAAACTTGAGTTGAAGGGACCTTGCCGGTAATTAGCTAAGACATGAAGCAATGGCATTGTTGGGCTCTTATAGGGGCTAGGCTCTAGTAACCTAAATAAGGCTCTCCTTGAGCGAGCGCTCTCCATTGTGGAGTGTGAGCCCCAAGCCAGGTGCTCCCAAAAGGCATGACCCTCCTACAAGTACCCTAGAACCCCCCAACCCCTACCAAACCCAAGCCCAACCCCTAAACCCTAAACCCTTTACCCTTTAATCCGTAACCCTAAGAAAGCCACACGAAAACTTCCGGCCTGGCCAAAGGAGCCGCTTCCGAGCAGGTCCCCGATCTCATAAGTCTGCGGCTCCGGGGCGTCGTGCTTTGTGTGTTTAGGCTCAGGGTCTAGGGCTTAGGGGTTTTCGGGTGTAGGGTCCAAAGCACTACATACACCTAAGTAATGACACATACCACATTAAAAGGCTTCATATTTTATGGCGCGGAAGTAGGGCTTCTTTAACCTGGGTCCCTAGCTGCCACGTCTGCTGGGGGCTATTTATACTTTACTCTAGTGGTATTACTTTTATCACAATCATTATGTCTACGACTCTACGAGGGCTATGTGGCCTACGAATTGGTACTTACATGGTTTGGAGTTTAGAGGATTAATGGGTTGTGGCTTGTGTTTCTTTGATCATCCCTCTATGCCAAAGAATCACGTACGCACGTATGCACGTTCCCTGCCACTCCAAAACATACCTGCAGGCTGCAGGCTTTGATTTAGAGGCACACCTCTAAACCGCTACTGAACCCCTACATCCGAAACCCTCACCCTGAGCCACTTATCGCACTTCAAACTAAACCCTAAACCCTGCACCCTGCACCCTAAACCCTAAACCCTGAACCCCTAAACCCAAAACCCTAAACCCTAGGTTGCGCTGATTGCAAGGCACCAGCTGTAGTCGAACTCAGAGTGAGGCCATCATTGAGGGATTGTCGATAGGGTTCGGGGCTTTGGCTAAGGGTTTAGGGGTTTCAGGGTGTGGGGCTTAGGGCGTGGGCTTGGGGACTTCGGGGATACTTCAGAATTGATAGCAAATTTCAGAACATTGCGTTGCCTACCCCCCCACCTCCCCCCCCCCCTCCTAGAGCCGCTCCATTAAGGACCCCATAACAGAAGTTGATGTTCTGCGGATGTGGATGCTCTTCTTCAAATACCCCACATGTAAACTGAGATTGCGGCTCGTTCTATCGTAGCCTCCCTTAGGCTTGCAACGTAAGACCCTGAAACCTCAAGAACGCAAGCCGTGAAATAGTCACACTCACGAACCTACGACATGTTCAAACATAAGGTTTCTACGACCTTGGGATATGTTGTATTTTCCCCTTGGGTTGAAGAGGATTGTGTTTAGGAATGCGTTGTCGGATGTTTTGAGACCCAAAACCCTGAACCCAACCGCAGGGGGACATCCTAGGCACTACGACGCGCACGAGGAAGGAGCACCAGCCTCGAAGAAGCCAGCCTGCAACGCCCACGTCACTTTCGGTTCAGGGCCACTCGTTCCGGTGAGTTGAAAACGATGAGAGGAAAGGGTTGGGGTTGAAAGTCTTTGAAGCCTAAGCCCCTACACCAAACACAAAAAACCATAAAGTTAGGGTCGTAGAGGTTTGGCGGTCAGAATACAGATGAGAGACCGATGAACGTGCGGCCAGGAAACTTCTTCAACTCAAGTCTGGGCTGCGGGCCATCCTTATGTGTACTTAGGAGGCCCAGGTAGCAACGCATCACAGCTTGCTGTGTGAAGTGTTCCTTGAGCGTGTGGGTCCTTAAGTCCTTTGAAGTCCCAACCAAGGCCCAGCAAGATGGCGAGCTGCAGCGCACAGCCCGCTCCCCTAAACCCTGAAACCCCGAAATCCGAATCCCTCCCCACCCCCGCCCTCCAACCCTAAACCCTAAACCCTAAACCCCAAACCCCAAACCCTAAACCCTCGAACAAAAATAAACAGGAATCAACCTTGAGATTGCCTCGCCTCCTGCGGCTGCCTCAACTTGAGGCTACGATCTTCGGGCCTGTGACGGTTTAGGGTTTAGGGGTTAGGGTTAGGGTTTAGGTTTAAGGTTTAGGGTTTAGGGCTTGGGGTTTGGGGTTTAGAGTTCAGGGTTTGGGGGGGGACTAGGAAGTCGGGTTTTGGGTTTATCGTTCGAGTATCCCCACAAGGACACTCAATAATATCGTAGTTGATCAAAACCCTACAAAATATTACCCCAGAAGGACATCTAGACTAACACCCCATTTACACTCACCAATACATATAAGAAACCACACACCAGAAACAGTACTGCAAAACCTATGTCAAGTGGGCTGAACCCAAAACCCCAAGCCCCAGCTTCGTGTTTAGGGTTTGGGGTTGAGGCTTTTGGGGCCCTTTTAACTCCACAAATGCTTTCTTTGAAGGTTCAACGTCTGTACATACGACCTACTTTTGAAGCTAAAAGCCAAAACCCTAAACCCTAAACCCTAAACCCTAAACCCTAAACCCTGAACCCTGAACCCTGAACCCTTAACCGTTTGCAGTTTCTGATGCTATGTGGCAGACCCAGGGCTGACTCCAAGAGACGCAAAGGTTTCGGGGCTTCTTAGGGCTTAGGGGCTTCGGGGTTTGGGGATAAGAGGTTTGAGGGTTAGGGTTTAGGGCTTAGAGCTTAGAGGATTTAGGCTTTAGAGTTCAGCATCTCAAGTCCAAGCATTCACTAGTCAAGCAGCTTGTCAAACGTTGGAGAAATACCACCCGCCCAAAAAATCCCATAACATTCTGCAAATTTAAAGCCCTGAACCCCAAAGCCTCGCCCTGCAACCTGAAGCCTAGGACCCTAAACCCTCTGCCGATTGTTCGGAGTGTGATTAGAGTTGGTGCCAATTCTTCGGAATTTAGTTGGGGTTGGTGCTCATTGTTCAGAATTTGAATAAGTTGGGTGCCCGTTTGCTCGGAGTTTAATTAGGGTTGGTGCCCGATTGTTCGGAACTTCATTGGGGCTTGATGTGTGGCCGATTGTTCGGAATTGACCTAGGGTTGGTGGCAAACTGGTGGTCGATTGTTCGGATTTTCATAAAAAAAAAACTCACCAAAAGTTATATATATATATATATACATACATATAGGTAAGAAAGGGCTTCGGGCTTTCAGGGTTTAGGGCTTAGTGTTCAGGGGCTTTGGGGTTTTAGGGCTTAGGGTTGCGGATCCCTTCTAGATTCATTCCTGTAGGGGGATTGGGCTAAGGGGTTTACGTGAGACAGGGCTCCAGGTAGAGACTCTCAACGCTTGGATGGGCTGGCCTTAACGGAGTATGGGCTTCAAGCAGTTTAGGGTTGTGTTGAGGGTTTAAGGCTCAGGCGTTAAGGTTTCAACAGGGTTTAGGAGTACTGACGCTGCACGAAACCTGTCCCGGCGCCCCGTTTTGTCCACTGTCAAGTGGCTGAAACAAACTCTGTCCCCACACCCTAAACCCTAAACCCTAAACCCTGAACCTTAACGTGTTCTCCATGGGCCTGGCAGGAATGAGCAAGCCGGGCAGAGGCCGCAAAAGAATCCAGAGTGACCTTTGTGGGCCCTGACTCCGGAAAGTAAGGCCCTAAGCCTAAGCCCTAAGCGCCCTAAGGGCCCCTAAGCCCTAAACTCTAAACCCCCAAGATGCCCTAAACCCGAACCCTAAACCCTGAACCCTAACCCCGCAGGATGCAGATTCCTAAAGCTCAGCTGGCATCTGCGTCATCTCACTGGAGCAGGATTCCTGCCGACAGGTCCTTCGGGTCCTTCGGGTCCTTCGGGAGGCAGTAGCGCCTGCGAAGCCCGGGCATCTCATAACTACAGCTAAAGACCCCCCCCCCCCCCATTTCTGTTGTACCCCAAGCACTGGACCTGAACCCTAACACCCCTATAAGCCCTGTAAACCCTGAAAACCCTAGAGTCTACAGCTACCGAAATGAATGTACAATGAAAAGCCTAAACCTACCCCAAACAATCCCGCCCCAATTGCGTCTGACTCTGAACCCCATCCACAGCCCCTAAGCCTGAAACCTCCCTAAAAACACAAGCACATCCCAGCCTGTCTACCACAACGCTGGCATAGGGGTCGATTGGGCAGCTTGCCTCTCGCACGTAGGAGTGCAACTCCCCTGGCGGAGGGTCACCCTCTAAACCCTACACCCTGAACCCAAACCCTCAACCCTCAACCCTCAACCCTCAACCCTCAACCCTCAACCCTCAACCCTCAACCCTCAACCCTCAACCCTCAACCCTCAACCCTCAACCCTCAACCCTGAACCCTGAACCCTAAATAAAGGCTTCGGGCCGTTGGCATGCAGATCTACCCCCCCAAACAGCGGCCTTGTCGGGCTGGTTGGGGGGTTTCTGCCGAGGTGCAAAGCCGAGTCCAAACTTGTAGACTGCACGGGGGTTTCCGAAACTAGGGGTACCTGATTGGGGTCTTTACTTCAGGGATCCTACGATTTGGGGATGTATATTGGGGATCTCCAATTTTCGTAAAAACCCCCCACATTGATAAAGTGGCTGAAGCTGTTCCAATAGTGTCATGACAGGTACCGCATAGTCCATTATATCTGTTATGTTAATACTTCTGCTTTTTAGTCTACTAATGATGTTATGCAGTGTCATAGGACTTGTTGTGCAGTATAACATACATATATATATATAGGCAAGCTATGTTCACTTTAATTGTTCTTGTAGTACCAAGAGATGTAGAAGGCAGTGCGCAGAAAACCCTAAACCCGCCTGTGGCTGCCGACATCATCGCCGTGTACGCCGTATGCGGGTTGTGCACAGGATAGGCCGACGACACCGCAAACAGACCTCAGCTTGTCTGGGCACTGTAAACCCTTAAGGGTTTAGGGTTTAGGGCGCATTGCAAAATTGTGAACGCAAAGGGTTTAGTGATTATGGAGTTTACAGGATTTGGGGTCTAGGGTTCGGCGTGGAATCCTTCGGTATCCCGGGAACCCACAGTCGAAACTCGAAACCTAAACTAACTGGAAGCTGTTTCGGGGTTAGGGTTTAGGGTTTGGGGTTTAGCGTGGTCCTGAGCCGCCCGCCCATCATTGAGGCTTCTTCCTGGCCCATCCGCCACAAGAGCGCCTGCTGCGAGCTCCGATCTCATGATTTGCGAGTTACATCAATGTGTAGCAGACAAGTGTTGGAGGTGGAGGAAGAAGCCAATGCTTAACTCTGTCCTACTCATGGCTATCTAACAATCTTCATATCAGGAGCTTGATGATAACAACCGACTGCAAAGAAAAAGGCTTCACGAGTCAACCTCTATAAGGGCTACGGATCATACGGACCGAATGGGACGGGGGCGTAAGGGAGGTGGGCGCAAAGGGATGAAAAGAGACCTTATGTGGAGATTATGGGGTTTAGGGTTTAGGGCTTCTGGATCATAAACCCTAAACCTGCCTCGGCGGCTGTGCGTCTGGGGTCTTGTGGATCATCTGGGAGCCACCTGGTGTAGAGCTGCATGCTTTGAGGATTTTGGAGAGGGTGCTTAAGGATTCAGGCGCTTCGTAGTGAAGGGCTTGGAGGGTTTGAGGGATTCGGGCCCGTTCTTTCTCCTCCCCGCACACAGGATGCAACTTGCCCGAGTCTGTTCTCACGAGGGGCGCGTCACACAAATCGAGGAACCCTAAAACGTAAACCCTAATTAACGCCCACGTGCTCGTAGCTGAGAGACTCTCACTGGAACATGAATCAGCCAAGACACCGATCTGTATTGCATTGGCACAAGAAGAACTCCTTACAGGCAACTGCACGTGCATCTTCGAGTGCAATGATATCGCGTGCAAAGAACACTGTTTGGAGACTCTGACGACTGTCTTGCCTGATGCCTCTGATTAAGTATTGCTGTCCTGATCATGATGATACCGCCATGCTGGCAATGGCAAAAAATCAGCCATACAATTCAGAGTGAGGGTACACGGCTCGCAGACTCTACAACCCAAGGTGGTGGCTGAAACTTGGAAATCCCCAAGGTGGTGGCTGAAATTTGGAAATCCCCTTTCTGGCTCTTGCCTCTTGCAACGCTGCGAATGGATCAGGGCTTGAGAGCTCAGGAATTTCGGAGTTTGTGGCCCTGCGTTATCTTGCTGCAAGCCAGCATCATCGTGCCCTGGCTTCAGCCAGTCAGCACCTTCCGCTCCAGACAGGTTTCGAGCAATGGCCACGCCTTCTCCTGGCTGCGTTCCCGCAGCGACGATGTAGAACCTCGTGAGCAGCCGGCATGGGAAACCCTGGTACTACTATTTGCTTAAAAGGAAGAATCTATTATTTTTTGGTCCAGAGCCAGTATTAGGGTTCAGGGTTTAGGGTTTTAGGGTTTAGGGTTGTAGGGTTTTTGGGTTGTAGGGTTTAGGGTTTCGGGGATTAGGGTTGAGGTGTTAGGGTGGAAAGCCGCCTGCTTCGAGTTTGGCCATGTGGCGGGGCAGCAAGCTGCGTCTTCGTCACATTGTCCACAAAATCCTCTGGCAAAGCACACCCCCCAACCCTACAAGCCTGCACCCTGTACCCTAGACCTGAAACTCTGAAGCCTAAACCCTAACCCTTAACCCGTAACCCTAAACCCTAAACCCTAAACCCTAAACCCTAAACCCTAAAACCCTCAACCCCAAAACCCTATACCTTAAACCCTAAACCCTAAGTCCAAACCCTAAACCCCTAAGTAAAGGTTTTCAGGGGCTTTGGACTCGAGGCTTGAAGAAAATCGGGTCTCCGGGTTTCAGAAGAGATCAGGCATCCCTAATCCCGGACAGCTCCCTGATCCTTAGTAAAAGGCACAACAAAATCCCCTGATCTCTAAAAACCTGCCGAAACCTCTAAACCCTTAGGCCCTAAATCCTCTAAACCCCGAAGCCCTCAAAAAGAACCCCAAACCACCTCCAAGCCTTAAAATCGCTTATAAGCACGAAGCCCCCGCCCCACCCCACAAAGCCCTAAACCCTAAACCCTGAACCCTGAACCCTGAACCCTGAACCCTAAACCCTAAACCCTAAACCACCCCCCCCT